TTCCCTATTTGACCATTCTTCTTAAGATTGTTCTTATTTTTATTCTGAAAGGGCCAAAACTTGTCTGGGAGAAGCTCTAGATGAAGTTTCCAACAAGTATCCTTGGTATGTTTCGGTTTCTTATGGTATTTACATATCACTTCTTTCTTCTCAGTCAGCCCTTTTGGCTTTATCCCAACATGTGCAAAATGCTCTGAAGGTGGTCCCTATAAATGTACTTGCCACCTACTTTCTTCACTGCTCACCACAGAATATGCTTGAGCAAGGGTGACTTCATCCTTGTCTAGAATATTTTGCTTAGTAAACTGCCATACTCTTCCTATTAGTTTCTTTCTACCAGTTTCCTGAATGTCTCTGCACCTATTGCTTTCCCACACAACTGTCTCCATAACATCAATCTCCTATCACAATGACTTCAACATGGAGTAGTAAACTGCCATACTCTTCTCCCCCTGTCTCAGATTGTTCACATCATTCTTTAACTTAGAGACTCTTGCAACATTTAACTTCTAAGAATATGTTTCTGTAACATTGTCCCAAATCTCCTTGATTGAAGTCATCCAAAGGTAATGCTGACTTATGTGAGGCTGCATAGAGTTGACTAACCATTCAATCACTGTGTAGTTCTCCTACATCCATTTTTCGTATGTAGGATCAGTCTCTTCAAGTTTCTTCTTATTGCCTGTGAGATACCCCAGTTTACCTCTATTGCAAACATAAATCCGTATAGACTGTACCCAGGCTAGGTAATTTGTTCCATCTAGTTTAATTGTAGTCACACTAGTCAAAAAGGAAGTTGTTGGACCAACCCCGGATACTAGAATCTGCTTCATCTCACTTCCAGATTGCTCCGTTGATCAAACAAAAATAAAAAAATAAGTTGTTCAGTCTTTATGAACCTAACTGAGGTTAGTCTAATACCTGAAGACTCAAAATCTAGGTTTCACTATACCCGACTGCCTGGGAGAAAGCGAGAAGCAACTACTCCTACCAGAGCTCTACAAACTTCTTCCAACCTCAACCACCCTCTTCTGGAAACCAAAAGGAACCCCCCAAGCCTTGAGCACCACGCCAAACCTTCTCTTTAACCTGTAACTGAGAATCTCTCTAGTTGGCTAAGGTTTTGGGCAAAAAATAGTAGCTTCACTTCTTAGCAATCTATAGCCAGCTTTGACTCTACAAACCCTCCACCAACTAGGCAAAAATAGTTCTCTGATCAATCAGAAACTTATTTCTCCATACACTCTTCTCATAGAAGGGCGTATGGGAAAAGAAAAGAAAAACATAAAAAGGAGGAAGGACCACTCTAATACCAAGATATGAATTAGTCCTCAAAATTTTATTAATTTGATCTAATCAAGATTAATTACATGTTTATCCTTAAGTGGGCAGCTAGCTCAACAATAACTTAAAGGAAATTAAAAAGAAGTTAACAGGCCCATTAACAAATATAAGAAATAAAGAGAACACTACTTAACAAAAAACAAGCACTATGGCCCATTAGGCCCGGTCTCTCTAAAAAGGCCAAAAGAAGTGTTGTGACCATGTGAACTCATTGCTCCACATGTTAAGCTATCTTTGTATTCCTTGATTGTCAAAGCAAAAGCAGCTGACCTTAGAGGCATAGTTTTCAAGGTGTCAAGACGAGGCTAGGTGATGGGATTTTTTTGAATAAAGCCCATCTTAAACTATTAATTATTTCCTATGTTTTTTTTTTAATTAAAGCTATGAATCCTAGGGTAATTTCCTAGATTCCATAGCAACCAGCAACTGTCTTTCACTATTAATTGTCTATAGTCTTGATAAAAAAATGTATAAGCTTCATATTAAACATAGAAAATCAATATATTCATGAAAAAATGGAAGAAAGAAAAGAATCTTCAAAAAATAGAGAGGTTGAGCCTCCATTTAAATGGAAGGGGTAATTTAACTTAAACTGAATAATTTAGTTTAATAATGTTTGTTTTATTATTATAATCTCAAAAAAATTAAGAATATAGAAGTGTCCAAGAGCACCATCTAAAAAATATCTTGGCAATTAAACGAGGTGACCCTCCCTGAGCATCTTATCGCCTAGGCTTCGCCTTGACAACTATGTAATGGCCACTATTGCTTATTTTATAGTTTGTTATTTAAATGTATGCTACCTTTTCTAGACATCACAAATGCATATTATTACTTTTTTTCTAGTGTGCTAGCGATACACACTCATTCTTTAGTTCCACTTCTCCACATCTCTCTTCCCTGAGTTAATTTTTTTTGGTCGTTTTCTCTCTACCGAGTTTGCATGCCAACAAAGTTCATGTTTGATTCATGTGGATAAAATGGGAAATGGACCTATGATTTCAAGAATGTCATGCATGACAAGACACCAGTGGCCATAAAGGAATTGATATTGACCAGGAAATTATGCAACATGATAAATCTCTAAGGTGGCATTTGATAAATCTGAAATCTAAAAAGTTACAAAGATATTATCTGTGTATGAAATCTGAAAAGCAGCATGAATGCTTTTCTACTTTTTAGAGGTTCTAAATAGTTAAGGTTGTTTGTGTTGGATTAATCCTATGGCATCTAAAATTCCCTGATTTTACTACTTTACCCCTAGAATAGACAATTTGGTAACTTTGAGTTCAATTTGCACTATTTCATAAAAAAAATTTATCAAATTCAAAATAATATTGAAAAATATGAATAAATAATAATAATTAATACCAATAAAAAATTAATAAAAAAAATTACTAGTTAAGATAATCAAGAATTCATAAAAATTATTAAAATCATTAATAATTAATGAAAAAGTAAAATAATTAATAATTAATACAAATAACAATTTTAAAAAACAAAATTATTAATTTCAAAATAATATTGAAATTTAAAAATACATATAAATTTAAAAAATAAAAAATGAATTATTAAAAAATAAAATAAATTCCACAGATCCATTAAATAATATTTAACAATTAGCAAATGAATATCTTAAAAACTATTAACATATTAAATAATTAATAAAAAATGAAATAATCAATAATTAGCAACAATCAAGACTAAGGGCCTATTCGTTTGCTCTGAAGTCTGACATATGAAAGTGTAATAATTACATTAAGATGTATATTGGTATTGGTGAACTTTTCTTTCCTCTGAACTCTGAATGCAGAGAATGTTGTTCTGAATTCTGAATTTTGAATTATGAAAACTATCAAATATCCATTTTGACCCCATATATGAGAGTTTTTATTTGTCTTTTTTGGGGTATCATTGGAAAACAAAAAGTTGTATGATTGCACTTTAAGAAATAAGAGATAAGAGGAAACGAACAACCAATTTTCTATTAAAGTTAAAAGATTCCTCTTAAGAGATAAGAGTTAAGAGGAAACGAATAGGCCCTAAAAGAATTGTGGAATCCCATCACCATTGTTCATCAATCCTTTTTCCCGAAGAGAGACAACACAACAAAATACAACACATTAAACCCAAATCGAAAAGACCAAACAGTAAAATCAAATCGATTCTGGATTCCCGTCACTTTCGTTCTTCTTACCTTGGATTGAGCATGAAGTTAGTGAAGAGAACCAAATACCAAACCAGGAACACCAGCACGTACAACTCCTACGTCTTAAGCGAAACCCCTAATTGCAACAACAAGATTCGAGAAAAAGAAGAATTCAGCTCTACCACCTGAATCAATGTAACAAAAACCCTAGAAAACATTGAGGGATTTCGCTTTGGGAAAAAAAAATTCTCTAGTCCAAATGGAGAAATTTGCATCACTTGATCACTTGAACACGATTTGGTAGCATAAATTTTGAGAAGCAGCACCAGGATACTAAACAAATGCGTCTATCTCCTGCAATTCGGAAGATATTCATGGCTGCAAAGATTGAATCAACTGGTTTTGTGCCCTAGATTTCAAATCGGAACTGAAGGAACGAAAAACGTCAAAAACGAGGAAGATTGTGAAACCGGATTGAAGAACTGGAAATGCAAAATGGCAAGAAAATCAGATGCAGCAGATGCTTTTCCACTTTGTAAAACCTGGGACTGAAAGTGCAGTGCGACAAGTCCCTTTGTCGTTCAAAGAGAAAGAACTCGAATGAGATAATTTTGGGTTTAAAACAGGGGCATACCTTGTCTTTTCGAAATTATCATGGGCACTTTGGACTTTGCACCAGGTCTGAAATGCGTCTAAGCGCATTAAGTGTTGGGCCGCGGTCTTAGAATTTCATATCTGAAAATACATTTCAGATCATCCTTTCAGACTCAAATACAAACACAAGTGGCGTCTGAAAAGTAACATTTCCAGACTTCAGAGGCCTGAAAAGTGTTATCAAATGCCACCTAAGATCTTTTTTCTTTTTTGATCAATACTTATAAATCTCTAAGATCAAGAAGGTACATTTTGTTGGAGGTTACAAGGGTATATTTGTAATGTTGATAAATTTTGGGGACTTGTATGTATTTATGAGAGGAAGAGGGGCATAAGTGAAATTCTGATATAATTGTGTCTTTTGCATATTTAAGCCATTGGTTGTGTGGAATTAGGGTTGAGTGAGAGTGGATATTTTGTTATGAGTCTGTAGAGAAATCAGCCATGTATCTCTTCTTATCATAGTGGATATTTTTCCCTCTCTTCCCATGGATGTAGGCTATCGAGTTGGACCACGTTAAATCTTGGCATTTTCCCTATTTCTTCTTCCTATTTTTTCTTGATTTACTATTTATTCTCTTTCCTGCTGGTTGACACATTTCAATAAGTCCCAAGCCGTCTCATAATTTGAGCCAGACTGACCACATAAACCATTGCTTTTCAACAGCAAGATTTGACCCAGAACCAACATGATGAAATTTGTATACATAAACAACAATAGAAAGAAGATACATAGTTTTTTCTATGCATGAATATAAATTTATCTGAATCAGATCCACTCTGAGAGACCATAATATATCTACAGCAACTAGTATAATACTGATCAAGGAAAACATTGTTCAGCTTATAGTACCCTTTCCCCAGAAGTGTAGGCATCGTTGCCATCTGTGGTAATTGCATTTGTACTTGTAAGATTGGTGCTGTTGCAAAATTTCCACTGGGATAAGGAGTATACAGCCCAGGTGCCTGATCACCACTGGATCCTCCAATCTGCTCAAATCCCTGATATGGTTGCTGCTGTCCATGCATCTGGTGTTTTCAGAACAGAAAAAAAAATGTAGAAAAACTGTCAGTGTCTGTATGTAATAGGACAAAAAAAATACAGTTTAAAATGATTGTACCAGAAGATTGTTCTTCATATCCCCTGCATTTAGCCTCTTGTTGTCCCACTCGTTGACAAACTCCTCTGATGCCAACCGTTTCATTCCAAGTGCTTCATACAAAGAATACAATAAACATCAGTTTTGCAAACATGACATATTACAAAAAGTGTAATTTCCTTCCCCATAAGGTTCAAAGTACAACTAATTTCTACAGTCCTAATGAGTTTAATTGTACACACTAAAAGAAGCTCTTAATATGAGATATGTAGAACAAATGGTAGACCTATCATACCTTCTCTACCAAAGTATAAATGAATATGCTTATTCAAATGGAAACATAAACATGTTAAAACTACAAAGATCAAAAATAAAGAAGCCTATTGATGATGCTCATAAACTATACGAAGACAACAAAAGATTGGATGTCTCTGCAATAACTTCTATTTTAGAGAATCAGTAACTGCGTCTCTGAAGAACATCAATGATGTTCCACCATCAACCTAATGAAGCTCACCCGATGGCATGAACACTACCTGATTTTGTTTCAAGAGAAATCAAATAGCAATCGACTAATGGAAACTTTTTAGAAAGGAGTCCAAATATTTTGTGCACAATCAATATGCTTCTCTGGAAATTGAGAAACAAACTGCCTACTGATAAGAATGCATGACAATATGTAATACAAATTATCCTCATTTTTTTATCAGAATGAAAGAGAACAAAAGAAAAATTGCATTACGACATATCAAACAATTATCTAACCTAATATAAACAACATATCACAAAAAAATAATACTTACTCGGAAACATATCTGTTACAGCTGCATTTTCTGCAGATGAAGGTGTAGTTGATGGTAAGGAAGCATTGCATTTTTTACACTGCACATAAAAGCAAATCTCATTCAAATATATCTTGCACGGAAAGCAAAGGTCTTAAAGAAATTCACTAAGCAAGTGCAAGGATGTTAAAGAACAGGATATCATTATGTTTAATGGCTTACTTGTGCACGGGAAGAGTAGTTGTGGAAACCACAGGAGCATATCCAGTCTCCATTGCGCCATCCTTTTGGAACCATAAGAACCTGATTTGTATTGTTTGTATATGGAAGTGAAGCACTACTACTCCCACCTAAAGGCCAACCAGAAGTTGACTGGACTCCATATTTATCAGCCACTCCAAGCGACCAATTAGGATTCAATGGAAATGATTGCTGAAGAGAAGGGTTGCTTGTTATCCCCATATTCATCTTCAGTCCTCCTTGTGCCCTGGCAAAATAATGTGCATAAGTCGGGAGAGAAACTCCAGGCATTGCAATTGCTGGCATTGCTGCTACCTCCTTTGGTTGCCCGCACTTTTTGCACTTTTCTCTTGACGCATAATTGTTGTTACTGCAACCTATTGATCCATTCCATACAACCCAACCAACGGTGCGGCCATCGAGAAGACAAGAAGCCAAGTATACGCACACCAACCAGCCCATCCCAAAACAAAAGATACATACAAAACACACGCACCACTCAACCCAATTGATTGCAAGTTCCTAATCTCATCTTGAGATAAAAAACAAATATCATATATGCAAGTGATAGTGTCAAACTAAAGACAAGAAGTAGCCGCATGATTTGCCAGTAATTATCTGCAGATTTATTCATTCGCAACGAGAATGCATAACAGCCTAGTCCTACAATATTATCTTCAAGTTTGTTGACCATAACAAACACAATTTATGTGTGTTCAACAAAAGACAAAATTTCATCACCTACTCAACAAGACTATTGGGAATGGGTTGTCACCTCTGTAACTGGGTCAACTGGGCAAGGAAACTCACTGGATAGTGGGATGCATATCAACATTAGGAGGAAAATCTTCAAAGCATGATACTTTGTTATTGGGTCAATCATGCCAGGGTACTCAGTAGATATTGACATGTATATCTCATTTCCATGCCAGTGGTTTTTAGTGACCCACTTGACATTTATTCAAAGAACCCAATGCATACATGAGAGAACTAAAAGAGAAAAGTTTTTACATGATTTAGAAGATGGTTAATTGAACTTCAAGAAATGAAGATTTATAATAAGAGTTATAAGGTAAATAATGGTTACAATTTAAAATAAGGGACTATCTTCCTAGGGAAAATTGTCTAGAAAAAATATCAAGATGAGTCAGGAATATCAGGATATAGTATGCCACATTACCCTCAAGCTGCAGAATCCTTAAAAGGACCTTTTTGAATTAAAAAGAAAAAAAGTTGAAACTTCAAGAGCTAGTATTACTTCTACAAACTCCAATAAAAGGTGCTGCATCAATTCAATGTGACTTTACCTATTTGACAATCTAGATTCGCCACATGGTCCATTCACATGGCTGAAATGGAAAAGGCTATCTAGAAAAGATTCTAGATAATACATCTATATGGACTTTATCCTTAAAAAGACCATTGGAACAGAACCAAGAAAAAATATTGGATGCTTCGTTTTCAAAAAAAAAAATGTTTTATTGAATCCATGTACCTTCCAGATAAGACAGAAAATCATATGCATATTAATTCTAGTATTTAGATATCCTTCCATAGTTGAATACTTCTCCATGCAATGACATGTCAACTGCTACTGCTTTCTGCATGTTTACACATTTTATATAAGTTCTGGGCCTGTCCAAAAAAGAGTTCAATAAAACTCCACCCTCAGTAATGTTGTGTTTTTTTATGGATCTTCCCAATATTTCCCACTTCAGAATAAAAAGCTTTAGTAGGCTCATCTTGCATGCAATAATCTTCCCACTATTTTTTGCCAAAGTAAAACATCATGCCATGAAAGATTGAAATACCACCATTAGACATTAGAATAAATATATAATTTCTTGATTAGTTCAGTTTTAATGTGCAGCTGACAGTCCAAAAGACCAGAATCATGATTTCTTGACTGTGGTGGTGTTTGGTATCGTGGTGTTGCATTCCCGTTTTGACTCCACCTAAGCACCACATAGGTGATTTGACTTTAACAATCAAACAAAACGTATTTGGTTGTACAGTTTATGCATGGGGGCATTGGAGAAAAGGTAAAAATTGGTATTTATTGTATCTGGTGGCCATTCCCACTTTATTTGTCCTGTGTGGTGCCTAACGGCACCTATATGTTTGAAATTACAACAAAACATTCTGCGGTTGGTACCAAATACCAAGTGGTCTGCCATAAGCTGGAAGCAACGCATCAAGCGTGTCACTCAGCTGAACGATAGTTGTTTCTAAGAATATAATCAAGAAACAGGTAGGAATCCTTTATGCATCAAAACATAGAGGAAATGCTCTAAACTTCAACTACCGGATCCTTCATAAATCGTCATATAAGCCAATGATTAGTCGGGTAAGACCACTAAACCCCTGGTGAACCTCCCATTACATACAAATTCTACTAACGAAATTCCAATAAACCCTAACTCCTATTTGAAAAGGCCAGTTCATGTAACACCCTCGATCAGTGATTCCTATGCGAAACTCCTACCATGCAAAAACTTCCAATCAATAAATTAGCAGCATATGCTCCAACCGCAAAATTATATCAAAAACGCTGAATTAATAAAACTAATGATATTGGAATAGAAAATATCCATGAGATGACCAAACCGATTGAAGTAAGAAACAAATAAGGCGAGAAAGCGATGTTTGTGAGACTATGTACGATTAATTAGTTAATCCAGTAAGATCCATCCAACATACTACAGAGTTACTGAGACTCCAAGAGGCGTGTGGAGGTAGAGTAAAGAAAGCAAGATCTAACCAGTGCAGATCCAATCACCAATGCGAGGGAGCCATTTAGAATCGGCAGGAGTTTTGGTGTCGACAAGAAGCCGAGGCTGTTTACATCTGTTGCAGAACGATCTGAACGCGTAGTTTCTGTTCCGGCACCCCGCGCATTCCCAATCTCCTTCTCTCCCTTCTCCCATTCTTATTGGTGTTTTTGGTCCCTGGCAAACGATCAACGAATACTATTGAGGTCGAAGTAGAGACTGCTGGGGACAGCCAGAGAGAGAGAGAGAGACTGAAAAGCCGGGAGTTCAGGTCAGGGATAGATCTGCTGATGTTGGGATGGAAAAGATAGATATGTTCAATGAGGATCCTCTGCAGTCTCCTCTCCACTACTTTATTTGTACTGAACCAAGCCAGCCCAGCCCCAGCGGGCAGCCGGGGTACTCACTTTGTACAGGGAGACAGGGGGAGAATCTCGCACGTGCTTGGACTTCAAAGCCTTTTAGTCTAATTTAACGAGGATATGGAGAGGGCCTACTGGGCCAACTTTTTTGGTCCCAGTCAGTCAAGGCCCATTATTGTTGGGTTGCCGATTCGCCGGTGTGTTCCATTGCTCTTTGCTCCTCACCTGGAATTGGAAGTTGGAACTGTTGGATGTTAGATTGTTAGAGCTGAAAATTTTCTGGATGGGCCGGGGTATTCTAGCGAAAGAGATCAAACAGCCCTCACAAGATTGCCTCCCACAATGTCCCACAACACATCCCCGCCCTGTATTGGAAACATCTGATGATGATATCAGAAATGACAGAAATGATGATGTTATTATTGGGAGATGTTCCCAATACACGGCAGAAATGTGCTGTGGGATGTTATACACGGTTAGAATGTGGTGTGAGACGTTATGGGGGTAATCTTGTGGGAGGCTGATTTGAATTCTAGCTGAAAGTTCAATTCTCTAAAAAGTCATAACGATTTGGGGGTGATTGGAAGGCGTAGACCATTAAACCTAGTTTTGCAACTATTAAACCTAATTTTGCATCCAGGCTGCGTTTGCACAATTGATTTCTTGAAAGTTGTTATTTCATTTCATGGTATTTGGTTGCATATAATGCCTAGTACTCATAAATACAGCGTTTGCTTGATAGAAGAGAATTCATGCGATTTGAATTTTTGATGAATGGATAAATAACTTACCCATCCTCTAGAATAATATTGGATATCTGAAAAAAAAGACACAAAAAAACTTTCCATCAACCCCACACAAGATTATTGCAATTCCGTAAAACCCACCCGATTACTCCCCCCATTTTTACATGGCCTAAAGAAGCAGTGCTAAGATTGTAGTTATTGCCTGCTTTGACTCCTCTTATCTTATACGGTTAACGGCCAATCCAAGCCCATCCCAATGCATTGGACCTTTGTCTCTGACCAAGGTGAAGTAGGTTAGGCAATGTCTGAGTTGCGAGTTGCGAGTTGCGACGTGGGAGATCTTCGATTCTGGGTGCAGAAGTCCTTTTGGATTTTGGCATGCTATTACTGAAGGGCATCTCATACAGCGATAGTGTTATATGAGAATTCCTAGGGGTGCTCACCATTCAGTTAACTGAACCATGGGGGGGCACTTTTTGTAACCAAACCGATAGTACCGGTTTTTGGAAAACCGATAATTAAACTAAACTGAAATCTATCAATTAACCGGTTGACTGGTTCAGTTAACCATCAGTTTGGTTCGTCAGTTTTTTTATTTTTTATTTTTTACAATATAAATTATAAAATATATAAATATAATAAAGAAATATTATATTTTAAATAAATAATATATCATATATTATAAATATATATTTATATATAATATATATTTATTAATTTATCATATATAAATATATATAACATACACAAATATATATAATATATAGAAATATATATATATATACCGGTCGATCCAATTAAATGCCGATTTTCTATATTGATTAACCGAAACAAAACCTGTACTTTCAGTTTACATCAAACTGAAACCAAACCAACCGGTTCAATTAACCGATTTTTTGGTTTGGTTTCAGTTGGTTTTTTTGGTCGATTCGATTTTTCATTTTTTTTTGCTCACCCCTAAGGATTCCTCCTTGCCATTGCCAATTGCCACACTTCAACATCGAGGTCGCCCCGCCCCTATCACACAAGCTGCGAGCAGATGCGGACCTTCATCTTCATCTTACGAGCACACATCTCTTTTAAGTTTTAGCCATTACAATTCACAAACATGATTGATGGTGCGTACATTCAGACGGCAATTATCCATGTTGTCTTGTCATATTCTACACTCGTGGCACACCTTGTCAAGGTTCCTCTCGTCAAACAACAAAATAAAAACTTGGCAGTGTTGGAACGAGGATGCCCCTTGCCATATTAAGTACAAGGTGCCCTCCTCAACCGTTTCAAGACTCATTACAGAGGATCAGATCTCAACACAGAATGTTTGCCTCCAAAGTCCAACCTACAAATTGATTACATGAAAAATATACCAAAAAAAAAAAAAAAAAACATGAACAGATGATAGGAAGTTCTTACCTTGACATGGACATGTACAAGTGGTCTGCTGTAAGTGTCAAAACAAGGCATCCAAAACCAAAATTCATGGCTGTTATGTTTAGGCTAATACTATGATAAACATAGATATAAAAGCAAACATATGTAATAATAAGTCCTTGTTAAACCTCACACCATCGAACCAGAGAGAGCCATACATTTTCCTTGCAACCAGGCCAACCGTTTCTCGTTTTTCAGGGACACGAACGTCTCCCTCAGATTGGGGTTCTCAAAAAGATCCAAAGCAGCAAAATAGATGTTCTGATCAACGCCTTGCATCTCATCCAATGCTTTGATGCAACCGGAAATAGAAAATTGGTCATTAGCCTGCGTCATAGCAACTGCTCTCAGCTTTGAAGCAGCCGCCATTTCTAACATAGCTTCTGCTATAGCATCACCAGTAGTCCCATCACAGTTTCTCATTCGAAGGCCCTGACCCGATTGTGTCTCGGATCGACGCTTCTTTCGCCCATCGAGTGTGTCCGGTCTTGAAGGTGAGGAAGAATCATGTTGTGCAAACATTGATGGCCTTGAAGGGTTAAAAGGCGTGTTTGCAGATTTTGGACATGATGCGGTTGCAGGAGTCTCCATCCCGGTCGTCTCTTTGTGTGACTCACCATAGTGACTTGACTGGGCATACCTACCATCAGCCCCTTTCTCAGAGAATATTGTGCACAGCTGTTCATAAATAGGACAATCCTTGATTCTGATAGCCTCGGGCTTGGGTTGTACCTATTAAGTGGAAGTTATCAATAACATAAGTTTCATTTAAGATATAAAGAATTTCAGAAAGAGTATGGTACCTCAATGAATTGTTCCCCTAGTTCAAATTCATTTGTTATCATGCATTGGGATCCATCCAATCCAAAGCCATCTTGATCAAAAACTGATTTCAAGTTGTAATACCGTGTTCGTAAAACCACAAGGTGTTTCCTCAATTGTTTCTTATCAAAGTTTAGACCTGTTTGTCGGTTGAACTCATCACGTATATGCTTCCATGTTTTCTTGTCAAAAACATTGTTTGTCCTCTTGTTCCCCAGTTGAACTTGCTCTACCACCAAGTCTGCAAATATCTTATCAAGGGATGCTGTCCACCTTGTCCTCAACCGGTCTTGCCTCAATTTATATTCACTGGATTGACCATCCATCTACAATTTCATAAGTAACTGTTAATAGAGGGTATGAGAAGAAATGCATGGCAAATATCATGCGTCACATTTGCACCAAAATAACATCCCATCCACACAAACAGAAAACCACTTTTCAAAGGCCTCATAGACATAGGAAGAAATAGTATATGCTAAATGGTCCTAAAACATGCATACTCTGAACAAAAATTAGAGCTTTATTCACTTTTATCAATAACAAAATTAAAGTTAGGGTCATAACTTGGACTACCATTGTCCAAAAGATCAACTGATTAGCATGTTAATGGTACACCAAAACTTATCAGGTCTGGTAACAAGGCACTTGTATGATCTGTCTTTTTTTTTCAATTTTACCTTATAAAATGATAAATAAACAGTTAACCATTTGAAGAAATTCTTGTATTCCTTTATTCCCACTAACAAAACTGAAATGCCTCAGACTCTTCAACCATCANTTAACCATTTGAAGAAATTCTTGTATTCCTTTATTCCCACTAACAAAACTGAAATGCCTCAGACTCTTCAACCATCATAGGAAGAAATGGTATATGCTAAATGGTCCTAAAACATGCATACTCTGAACAAAACTTAGAGCTTTATTCACTTTTATCAATAAAAAAAATTAAAAGTTAGGGTCATAACTTGGACTACCATCGTCCAAGAGATCAACTGATTAGCATGTTAATGGTACACCAAAACTTATCAGGTCTGGTAACAAGGCACTTGTATGATCTGTCTTTTTTTATTCAATTTTACCTTATAAAATGATAAATAAACAATTAACCATTTGAAGAAATTCTTGTATTCCTTTATTCCCACTAACAAAACTGAAATGCCTCAGACTCTTCAACCATCATAGGAAGAAATGGTATATGCTAAATGGTCCTAAAACATGCACACTCTGAACAAAACTTAGAGCTTTATTCACTTTTATCAATAAAAAAATTAAAAGTTAGGGTCATAACTTGGACTACCATTGTCCAAGAGATCAACTGATTAGCATGTTAATGGTACACCAAAACTTATCAGGTCTGGTAACAAGGCACTTGTATGATCTGTCTTTTTTTTTCAATTTTACCTTATAAAATGATAAATAAACAGTTAACCATTTGAAGAAATTCTTGTATTCCTTTATTCCCACTAACAAAACTGAAATGCCTCAGACTCTTCAACCATCAGAGGTTCACTTACCAAAGTTGTCTTTGTTGCATAGTGTTAGCTGAAACACAACAGTCATAATGCATTTCTCACAAGGTCAGAAAATAAGAAGATATATTGAAAATTATACCAAGGAAGAAAGACTAGTTATGCTTCTGATAAGATTATATTTTTTGCAATACATTAAAAAAAGAAAACCCCAATGCCAACTATTCTAAATCTGAAAAGTAAGGGTATATTGCAGATTAGTACCCTGTACTTTGGGGTAGTCTCACTTTAGTACCCAAACTTCAAAATGTGCCACTGCAGTACCTGAAGTCCCAAAAACTGCCAGTTTAGTCCCCACCGTTTAACAGTCCATCAGTTATCTGTATCACATGATGACACGTACAACTTGGAACTTTTAAAACTACCCTATGGAAGAAGATACTGTTCATTATCTTCTTCCTTGAGACTGAACCAGAGAAGCAGTGATCTTCCTTCCTTCCTTTCATTGACAAGAGATAATGCCAGAGATCTTTCTTTCAGTGACCTTTCAGTGACAAGTGACAAGAAACACTGTTCATTGTCTTCTTCCTTGAGACTGAACCAGAGAAGCAGTGATCTTTCTTTCCTTCTTCCTTCCTTCCTTTCAGTGACAAGAGATAATGCCACCTGTTAACGAAGGCCCTATCGTAGTCCTCCACATTTGGAGCCAATGTAGTCCAATAAACCACAGATCTTTCCTCCATTTCCTTCTCTGATTTTAACTCAGATAGAGAGATGTCCAAGACTTCTGACTTCCCCTTCCCTGAGACCTTCTGCACAGAAAAATTACTATAATGCTCCAAAATCCCATCCAACTCCTTGAGTAAGTTCTCCTGCCCCTTGGATGCGATAGTCAGACCATAGTTACCAAATTCTCCAAACCATGTCAACTTTGGTTTCTTCATTGTCAAAGTCAGACCCTTCATCGAACATGGAGAGTGAAGTACCGGGAATCATTGAGCTTGATGACAGCCTCGCCCATGGCAAGAGGCCATTGGATCTCATTGTTGACATGAGCAAGAACAACAACAACGTTTTCACCCTACCAGAGACGAACGATTGTCAGGTCACCGCAAGTGAGCTCAATACTGTATTGCCTGTTGATGAGACATACAATCGTACTGGGAATCTTGATGAGGACCTCGTCAAAAGATTGTATGGGAAGCAAATGGAGCATGAGAATGGGAAATTTCATGGATATCGTCCTTGTCTGGGAATAGGTTCTCGACAAGGTCGTTCATGCAATGGAGGGATAGAGGGAAGAAGAGGAAGAGGGCTTGGAGTCCTTCAACCAATTGGACGAATCGATCACAAGATACACAGAAGATGAAGATTTGGGGTTTGAAATGAACGGAGATGCAGTTTCTGAGTTAGATTTGATGACTTGTTTCCAAGGTCTTCTCTGTACAAGTAGTTAATCTAATGAGTGGGCATCAATCATCATGTGGGAGACTTTTTTTGGATCAAAATCATTCTAACTATCAAAGCACAGCTAATGTTCAGACCTACCCGTCTATCTGTGTATTGCATGATTGCATCACAGATATTTTATTATCCACAGTAATGTTCATTAACGATGGGGGACTAAACTGGCAGGGAGTTCAGGTACTGCAGTGGTACGTTTTGAAATTCAGGTACTAAAGTGAGATTACCCCCAAAGTATAAGGTACTAAGTAATCTGCAATTTCCTGAAAAATTAACCACTGTTGTAGGTCTTAGGCAAGGCCAGGCCACTTTTTATGCTATAAATACAAGGCTATCCCTGAAAGCAGGCCTAGTGGGTGGGCGTATGCATATATGTAAAAAAGGCCACTGCCTAATGTTGATCCCAGCTATCTGGGGTCTTAGGAGGAGCAGGCTGGATATAGACCTAAGCTTTGGCCTTCTTTATCTTTATTTATTTATTTATTTTGGCACAAAGTAGACACTCTTAGACTCAAACCCACATTCTTACACTTGTCAGCCTGAGATTTTACCTTTACACCAAGCAATGGATATGTGTTTGTGGTATGAATGTTTCTGTGTAAATATATTACATATTCAGAATGTTTACCTCTTGCCATAATTCATAAAAATGCATCAACATAACTGCCTTCAGCAAGTATATATGTTTATGTTTATGGATGTACCATCTGTGATTATGTACCATGTGGGTATATATAAACTTTTTTTATCAGCAACACAAAATTGATTCATTAGATTAAAAAATAGAGATACAACAAAGAGTTGTGGGCACAAAAAACAAAGCCCACCCAGAAACTATTCACTATTTACAGAATTGCCCAGAACATAGATTGTCTTTGAGTTCCTTGCTTTTGCCAGACCATCAACCAAACTGTTTGCAGACCTCCTTATCCATCTTATTTGGATCATCATATCTTTAGAAATCTGCTTGAATCTCCTGAATTCATTCCTTAACTTCCATATGATTCCTTCCCTTGTTTTAACCAGCCCACAACTACTTTTGAATCACCTTCAATAATCAGCTTAGTAATCCCCATTTCTTTAGCTTTCTCTACTCCATAGACTGCTGCCAATAATTCTGATCTCACCACATCTCCATGCTGAATAGGACCTGAGTACAAAGCTAGAATGTTTCCATTTTCTTCCCTAATTACCCCACCAATACCTGATGGTCCAGGATTGCCCATACAACTACCATCAAAGTTTAATTTCTTCCACCCAACACATGAAGGAGACCAGGCCTCATGAACTTGTACAAATATATATCTAGCATATACACTTAGATATAATATTGTTTAAAATGTACTATTTAGTAAAATTTATACTTTATATATTTCACTAGTTAAGCCCATGGAACGGTGGAGGGCCTCATTATCTGTTGTTATTTTGTGAAAAAATTATACATCAATTCTTAGTTATCCACTCTAAACAGAACAGAAAAAGGATAGAGCTCTGTGGTTGAAGAGAAGAGAGATGAAAAGGGCAGCCCAGTCCACGAGGCTCCCGCCAATGTGGGGTCTAAGGAGGGATAGATGTATGCAGCACATACAGAGAGGCTGTTTCCAAAGAAGAGAGATGAAAAAACATTATGAATATTAGAACTAAATATGGTATTCACTTTGAGGGCAAAAATTGTACTCAAATTTATGAGAAGGATCAATTATTTAAAGTACTATTTTGTTAAACTATTTTCCTAAAAGGCATAAATATTGAGGACAATCAAAAATTGTCCTTGAGATATCGGCAGCAACTAATTGCCTCTTGCTACTTTTTGTATAAGGTAATTAGATATACATAAATATTCACAGATATATTATGCAATGCAAGTATATATAAACTTGACTTGATCAAGGCTAGACCAAAATCAGAAGACCATGTCGGCATAGGAGGGCTGAAGTACAAACAGACACCCCTAATTGCAATTTGCAACCCAACCTTTACCCTGTGTCTAATCCTTTTTCACATGGTGTATACATTGCAAGTGCTACCTGCTAGTAATCACTCACAAAGAACACAATATTCTCATTTTGGACATTAATAAGGCTCTCCCATTCTCACATACCAACAATGATTAATTCTATCCAGGTCCGCCTCCCATTCATTTCTTACAACTTACAAGAACATGGTGAGATAACATAACCTGTCGAGACATAGCTTCATTTACTTTCTCTTGTAACTTGTGGCATAGAGGATCTTCCAGTGGTATCATATATCAAACTATTGTTTCTATAGAACTCGATAATTGAAAAGATTAGCAACTAGTGAGACAAACAGAAGGAAACCACCTGCTAGTAATGACTCTGAAAACAAATTATACGACAATTGAGCACTGCCAATATCAGGAAGGCTCTCCCTTCTCAAATACAAACAATTATCATTTCTGTCCAACACTCCAACTCCAACTCTCATTTCTAAGAGGAGCCCAGTCTAGGCACAAGTTATAGCTGCATAGACTTCTCCAATCCCTCAACTGTAAAGCTTGCTTTCTAGGTACCCTTCCCCCTCCTTCTAACCATACTTCTTTGCTTCATGTGGTATCATATGCCAATACTGCTTTTCTCAGAATGTGATAATTGAAAACTAGGAAGTACCAAGGGCATCCAGAAAATACTGTTAAGTATGCTGAGTTCATGTTAATGGCACTCCATAAGCTGTAAACGAGTATACTAAATGCAATATGACATGACCAAATGCAGTCCTTTAAAGTCCGTACAATCACTTAATGCACTCAAACTGAAAGATCAACCAGATTGTCAAGACTGAGTCATGTGTATGAAACATATATTCTCTGTATAAAATGCTACAGACCCAAATGCAGGCCAGCTAAGTCAAATGGTCTGACTACCTAAGCCGATCTTTCATTCCTGACCAATGAAACAAGTTGTAAAATTTTTTCCTAAAAGTATAAAGAAATGGTTACAAGAACATAATATGGTATGAGTATGAATCAGATCTTAAAGATGTGGTTTATATGCTCTCATGGTGATCATGGATCCATGGCAATCAATTTGGTTTTCTTAGGAAAAATGCAGATATACCATTTGCCTAAAGGGAAATCCACTTTCAATTTCTTATTCTGTCATTAATCAACTCATTGTTCTCAATTTCATGATGGATGGAGCTCATTTTTCCCCTGAATTCTAGCAAATATTATAAACTTGTATCCCACACCACTTTGTGGGGATTTTGTAATATGTATCCTTTGTACTGTTTAATAAAATAACCTTTGTCCATCTAAAAAAAAAACATTATAAACTTGTATCTTCAAGTTAAATAACTATTTACGTTAACTCTGAAAAAATTGAAAATAATGATGAAAACTATATTCACAATTACATAGTTTTGGGATCAACTATTCCACCAGAAATATTATGCCATGTACATAATTAACTACTTATATTGGTTGTATGTTACAACAAACTGGTCAGTTGTTACTTGTTAAGAAACTTCCAACTACTCTTGGAGCAGCTTATGAGACCACTGCTTAGAAAAATTAATATTTAAGGTATTTGAAGTGAAGAAACCTTGAAGGCACCACATGCTAAAACAGAGCTAAAAAATGTGTTTGGTTTTATTAAAGAAACACAAACTAGGTGACTCATTCTTTTCCTTGCAGTGCAACCCACATACACACACAAGTGCAGCTTATGAGACCACTGCTTAGAAAAATTAATATTTATGGTATTTGAAGTGAAGAAACCTTGAAGGCACCCCATGCTAAAACAAAGATAAAAAATGTGTTTTATTAAAGAAACACAAATTATGTGACTCATTCTTTTCCTTGCAGTGCAACCCACATACACGCACAAGTGCACTGCTAAGAAGGGTCTCTGTCATCCAATAGAGTTAGAGGCTTTTGTAATTCACAGGTCTGGATTGGTAGAAGACTTGCAAAAATAGCCTTAGAGAGTATCAATGATTTAAAAAACATATGAGGTTTATGCCTTGTGGCTCGCCTTGAAGAGACACTCAAGGAAAACACTTCAAGGCTCAATCTTGAGGTTCACAGCTTTAAAACCATTTGAGGTATCATTTTAATTTAAAGCTTTTTAAGAACTTTTTGGTAATTAAGAATTCATTTCATTAAAGAGGTGGGTGAATGTTCCAGATACAAAGGAGGAATGAAAACACCATTCCATGATTACAATAAAACCAACAATCCTCCCCCCTTCACATCATAGATAATGGACTCCCATCCATTACAAAATTTGGAAACTGGAGCCCTTCAAAACTTTTCATAAATGATGCCCAAGAGAAGATGGATCCTTTGATTCTTCTCCTGATCACCATCTGAATTTCATTAATTTCCTTCAAAAGATTCTGCTATTCCTCTTCTTTTCATAGCCTCCAACAGATAGCAAAAGGAGTGAGATTCTATAAAACCCCTCTTTCCTGAATCCCTTGCTGCCCAAACCTCTGCTAACCATTTAATGCTACCAAGGAGTGATCCACTGTCTGCAAACAACTTAAGATTATATTCCCTGGCCAGAATGGAAAAGCTATAAATAACTTTTAATGGTTGTTAAATGATTCTTAAAAATATGATGAGTTCATATAGAGCTCTTTTGTATGCTCTTTGTATAAAGAAATTGCACTTTGTTTGTGCATTTTTCTACGTTTTCCTTATTTAGGTTCATATTTTTCTTACAATGTTATAACTCATGTAGCCTATGTCTCATGCTTCAAGGCTTATGCCTAACGCATCTAATGGCCTTGTACCTTGCCTGTTTCCTCATGCCTCTGTATTTTTAAAATTGGACCAAAGAGCCTAGTATGAAAAGTAGATTAAGTAAATAGCCCATTCCATTGAAATCCAAGCTTCAAAATCGATGCTTAGCATAGAAATATAGACCTGGATTAATCTAATGACAAATCTACCTAGCTGACAACCAAGGTATACAACATTTGCTCCTGTAATGAGCCAAACAACCTTACCCTGATGATCTACTCTATCTCTGCCATGCAGAGAGGTGAACAAGCAGACCCAAACAACCCAGGTAGGAGACCTTCGTGATCAGCCAAGTGTTGAATCCTCCAGTCCACATCAGCCTTATGTTGGTGGTTTCCCAAAAAAGTGTTTTCTATTCGAAGTTCTATTCTTTTATTATATAAATTAATCTGTATACATGTTACAAGTACTTTGAGGCTGAAATTTATACCATGAATAGAGGCAGCCAAGACAAACATGTAGCACTGTCAAATCAGTAAAAACAATATTGAAACAATACAAGTTGGTGAATATACTAAGTTACCCAACAAAATTGTCATATGGGAGATTCTTGGGTCATTTGGAGGAGCTATCTTATGACCAGTGTCAACATACAAGCTGTTCTTTTGTTGTATAGTCATTGTATCCTCTAAACCTTACCAAAGAAACAGATAACAAAACACCTTACAAATAACCCTTTCAAAGTGATGTCTCGCACTGGAATTAACATCTGTTTTCATACAACATAGGGAAAGAAATAAAAAAAAAAAACTGCTAACCCACGCCACAGGTATTTCTGAAATCTCACTGATCATCACAAATCACGTACCATCTAAAGTCCATTAATGTCGATAAGAAGCAAGGGCCCAAACTCCCAGAGTTGCTATGAAAAGATTGAGCTTATGCTTTGGCCCACTGTAATAAATTCTAATTCTTCTTACTGACTGCTTTGAGAACGATAGCTCTTTTTCAAGCAATCAAAATCAGATTTTAGGGCCTGTGTTTAGAGATACCATCTTCAAATTAATGTCCTCGAAATGATATTTAATCAGATAATCCACTAATGGATCAGACAAAAAATGACTGATTCACCATCAGGAGACAACTACTGAATGACCAATAAAATAATGGAGATCAAGTGCAATAAAATGAAAGAACTCGTGTATTATTTCGCATGCCAACAATTCTAGGTTACTAGAAACGTCAAAAAGTGGATATGGACTAAGCTCGGTTAGAAATGTATACAACATAAATGAATAACTGTTACGGGAAAATTAAAAAAAAAAAAATCAAAGAAAAGGAAGGCATCCAAAGAAATCACACACCCTTTTTCGGCTGAAGCTCCCCTTGAACTACGGCTTTGCTTCAGTGTCTCGAATTTGCCATTTCAGAAATATTTTGAAGATGAGAACTGGAGAAATGAACCTTCTATTTAAAGCAATCAGAGAAAGTGAACATGAAAGAAACCCTAACCCTTATCAGAGAACCCGATTAGACGCAAAAGGGTTTATTTTCTTTCCGACTACAGCTCAAAGGAAGCCATAGATGGAGAAACAGTAAATGGAAGCAAAGCCCTAGCCCCTAGGCAAGAAGGAAAGCGAGCGGGGGAGACGGGGGGACTGCAAAATAAAGCCTAATCCTCGATGTTTTGAATAACGGGCATAACGACTATAACCGTGTCGTTTTTTCCTGATTTCCATCGAAAAAGTGATTCCATGAGGGTTCACTCATGCGAGGCCCTCTCTGTACCCATCAGATTGGAATCCACGTAACATTTGACGCCATTTCCTGGACTGTAGTGGTCGCTTGAAAATCCAACGATTACGAAAAGGGTTTCATACTGAAGATTGTGCAGTACCTGTGACCTCTCCCAAGAATATCCAGGTGTATGTTAATGTTAGATTGAGTTTTTTCGGGGTTAGGAGATGAAATTCAATAAAAAGGATCACAGTAGTCTACAAGTATATCATTTTGACTAGGGTTTGTGATGTGTTTGATTTGAAAGAAAATGTAGGGAAATGTAGGGAAAGGAAAGGATAGATAAGGGAATGAAAAGAAAATGTTGTAAAGGTTTTCTTTTCTTTTCCTTCCTTTTCTTATTTTTTCTTTCAAACCAAACAGCCTGAATGAACCTGTTATAATTTGAGGTCAGCCTCCAGTACTTTATGCGACTGAATCATGTGGCATGGGCTAGCCGGGTTAAGGTTGATCATTTATTATCCGGCCTGGTCCAGCTTTTCTTTGGTAAACCAGGCAGGCCCGGGCTTGCCTATTTTAACTCTGGCTCGGCCATGCCTGTACACATAATGTTGATTGAAAGTATGTACTAAGTGTACATGTTCATATGATACCTAAAAACGTAGGTATTACAAGAGTTTTAATTAGGCATGCAAGTTGGGCGAGTTGGGTCGACTTTATGATCAATCCAGGTCCAACCCTAAAATTTGGGTTTAAGGTTTGAGCCTAAATCAAGTTCAAGGTCAAGCCCAATCTTCTCAATCCAAGCCCAGTCCGCACTGTAATTTGATGCACTCGGATTGAGCTCAGGTTCAAGTCGGGCTTAGGTTGGTCAACAAACCCGCTCTAAAATTATATATGTATATATGCATTTATGTAAATATACATACATACATACATGTATGTATGTATGTATGTATATAAATATGTATGCAAAATTTACATATATATACATATGTATGTATGAGTGTGTATAGTTGGGCCGAGTTGGGGCATTCTAAGGGCTTGGCCTAGGCCTGGCCTAAAAAATAAAAAAGCCCAACTTCTTGGGTTCGAGCCCATCCCGAGGACCGAAAATCCAAGCCCAACTCGTGTAAAATTTTGAGTTGGGTTGGTTAGAGCTCAGGCTAGGTCTGCCTAAGTTGCACCCCTAGTTTTGTTGACCATTCAACTCGTGAATTTTGATGAATACCCCCTGATTGGGTATATTTTTTATGATACTAGTTGATTGCTTGTACATTTATGTATATATAATTAGAAAATATATATATATATATATATATATATATTATTAATAAAATGTATGTATAATTGTATTGTTTAGGTAGGCTCAAGCTATGTGAGGCCTCAACCTAAACCCAACCAAAGTTTATGTTAGACCCAAGTTTTCTCAATGTTTTCAAACTACCATTGACCCAGACAGTCGAACTGTTTCGATCCGTCCAGGCAATTGGTTCCATTTCACCCTTAACACGCTCATTGGCCAAAAACCACTGATTTGGTCAATGACCCACTAACTCGGAGACGGGTTCTAGTAGGCAGGAGATTCAGGCTCTAACTTGGGTAGTCAAATCGTTGACCTGTTCGATCCGTTCAATAGTTTTTGGCTGTTTTTTTTTTCGGGAAAAATCCCAATTAGTACCTTGTACTTTGGGCCTAGTGCCACTTTGGTCCCCAAACATTAAAATGTGATAATTCAGTAACTGAACTTTCAAAATATGCCAATCCATTAGTTATCGTTAACCAACCGTTAAATGACATATAAAAATATATAAATGCCCTTTAGATGTCATCTAATTTTCTTTATCAACATCCAAATACCCTTCTCCTGACATGGCAACGAAAAAAATACCAAAGTTCTATTTGTTTTGTCCCATTTCCAACTTGTTACATCTTACATTGTTTCTAAGTTGTAGTGGAAATTAATGCCTCACCTGCAAACTCCGGTTACCCCAATTATATTCACCCATTGTTTTGTTGTTTCCTCATCACCAATAGAAAAGGACAAAATATTTTCCATCCCCTCCAGAACACTTATATATTTTCATATAAACTTGTCACTTGTCTCCTATTTATAGATTAGTTACTCCAAGTTAAAGTCAACCATGGCAACTGTGTATTTATTTTAGGCAAATTCATTAATGAAAAGCTCAGATTACAGTACTAGCAACAAGAAAAGATGGAACAGAAGCCCACGTTGGAGCCTGTTGGAAAGAAATAGCATAATGTGCAATAAAATGTACAGCCTTATTCAGCAAGCCAACAACGAGAAAAATACGAAATGGGTCTTCCTCTAAAACCGTATTCAACATATTCTTTTTTTTTTGATAAAAGAATTTCATTAAACAGAAAGGCAAACAAAACAATAGAGACAATAACACAAAGAAGAGAACATAAAAAAAAAGAAACACAAAAACAACACATCACCCACAATTTAGTGACCTAAAACTACTAGGAGCAGCAAAAAAAGCAGTAATGTCTTTTAACATAGGACCTACCATCCATCTTAGGCAAGCATCTTTCCAGCAAAAATTGTAAACTAGACTCATCTTGGCTACTGCATGAACCAACTCATTAACTTCACGGGTGATCTAACAGAAAAAAAGGATTTCCCAGCACTAAAGGCTTTTATGTCTTTGCAAAGGAACAAAACATCTTGGTGGGGAGTGGCATCCTCCTTATACAAGTAACTAATAAGTTGGCTTGAGTCTACTTCAAAGATAATCTTATACCATCCTTGGTTCACAGCGAAAGCTACCACTTGGAGCACGGCTTTTGCTTCGGCAATCAATGTTGAATTAGCAATACAGGAACTTGCAACAACTCCCTAATAGCAACCTACTCATCTCTTATCACAAAACCAAGAGAAGCTACTTCATTTGAACTAAAGCCACCATCTGAGTTTACTTTGATGAAACCTAAGCCCAGTGGCAACCAAAAATAATTTTTCCTGGGCTTTTTTCTAGGAAGCAAAGAGCTTCCTGATTTCTAAAACCAAGTCTGAGATATCTCCACTATAGCTCTGTGAATTAGGGAAATCACAACAATAGGGTTAGTATTCTCATTTAAAAAAAAAGTATTCTTGTCCTTCCAAATCTCCCATAGAGTTATAGCTATTTGAACCATTAGTTTGTTGTTTAAATTACCAAGGTCCTTTATGACTTGCGAAAACCAACTCCCAAAGTTTGAAGGGGTAGAATCTTTTGAAGGTTTGACTCCACAACCTACTCCAAGCCAGATACCTCTAGCTTTGTCACATAAGAGCAGGGCATGAACAATGGATTCTTAATCTTGATTACATCTCAAGCAAACTGCTGAGTCAAGAATTTTCCTACTGGCCAAGTTCTTCCTAACTGGGATGCCATTATAGCAGCATTTCCAAAGAAAATTCCGGATTTTAGGTTACATAGGGTTTTCCACAAAGAGTTCCATAGATCTTTATCTCTTATAGACTTATCCCTTTCTAGATCATCAGAATCCAAACTTTGACTAGCTACATGGTATGCTGACCTTACTGTGAATCTCCCTTTTTGATTATGAACCCATATCATCTCATCTTTCCACAAGTTTGTTGCTAGATCACTACTCAAAACTTTCTCCTCTTCTACTAGAGTAGAAAACCTCATAATCTTCTCTACATCCCACCCTCTTTCTTCTTGATTTATAAACTCCCTCCCCCGTAGGTTACTTTGTATTGGCCTAGGATCCATTGGTTTAAAACCTTTGAGGCCTGGAATCCAAGGGTCCTTCCAAACATCAACCCTTTTCCCCTGTATTGACTTTCTACATAATTCCTTTTTCTAACAGTTTTCTTCCCTCCATAATGCTCCTCCACCCCTACAAAATGTTACTACCCTTTTTGGCTTCAAGAAAATGGCATCTAGGGAAATATTTTGCTTTTAGAAGGTGAGCCCATAAACTGTTTGTATCCACACTTAGCTTCCAAACTAATTTTGCCAATAAGGCAACATTGAAAAGGTGGGGATCCCTAAACCCCAACCCCCCATCAAGCTTTGACCTACAAATTTGGGTCCAAGGAATCCATCTTATTTTCTTTCTTCTATCATAGTACCCCCATCACAACTCTCTTTGACACTTAACAATATCCTCACAGACTTTGTTGGGTATCAAGAAACAGGACATGCAATGGTTTGGCATAGCAATGAGAACTGCTTTTATGAGAACATCATTTCCCGCTTGAGACAATAAGGTCCCCCTCCAACTCTTGGCCTTATTTTCAACTCTCTCAATGAGGTAATTGAATAAATGGCATTTTTTCCTCCCTATGTTAGGGTAGGTTTCTAAATATAAGGAGGGGCTGGATACCTTTATGAATCTAAAAGAGTTAGCTATAATCTTTTGAAGTCTAGGGTGCATGTTCTTACTAAAAACGATTTCAGACTTTTCCATAGATTTCCAAAGCCTCCATCATCTTATTCCCTTCACTAAGATTTGATATTGAGAAAAGATACTTATCATCTGCAAAGAAAAGGTGAGATATGATTGGCGCTTGCCTACAAATCTTAATTCCAAACATAACTTTCCTATCTACCATGTTATTTAGGATAGTAGAGAGAACATCAGAGCAAATTAGAAATAAATACGAGGACAAAGGGTCTTCTTGCCTTAGACTGCTTTGAGGCTAAATCTTTTTTTGAAGGAATACCATTTATCAAGATTTGGTAATATACAAATTTAACACATAACATAACCCGGTTGACCCACTTGTCTCCAAACCCCAACATTTGCAAGGTTTTTTGAAGGAAGTCCCATTCTACCTTGTCATAAGCTTTGCTCATGTCTAGTTTTACAACCATGAATCCCTTTTTTTTCCTTGGTTTTGTTCATGTAATGCATAACTTCATGGGCTATGAAGATATTGTCAGTAATGGATCTTTTAAGAATGAAGGCACTCTGATTTGAGGAAATGACTTTGTTAAGTAGAGGTTTGAGCCTATTTGTCATGATTTTTGAAATAATTTTGTAAATTGTATTGCATGGGCTAATGGACCTTAACTGTGTAGCACTCTCAGGGTTCTTCACTTTCATGTTCAAGGTTATCAAGGTGGAGTTGAGGTCTCTACTAAGGATTCCATTCGAGAAAAACTTTTTAACCTCTCCTTTCACCCCTTCCCTTACTACCTTCCAAAACTTATGAAAGAAAAAATTAGGAAAGCCATTTGGCCCTAGAGCTTTTTTCGGGGCCATCTGGAACAAGTTTTCCTTTATTTCCTCTTATGTGACATCTTTCTACAACTCTTCATTATCTTCCTTAGATAATTTCCCTTCCAAGAAGTCCATGGTTGAATCTATGTCCGAAGGATTTGAGGAAGAAAAAATTTCTTGAAAGTGCTCTACTAGGACATTACTAACTTGGTCTTGCCCTTCTACCCAAACCCCTTTTCTATTTTTGATTTTCAGGATTCTGTTTTTTGCCCTTCTCCTTATGGTTGCATTGTGGAAGAATTTGGTGTTCTTGTCTCCATAATTCAGCTAGTTGATTCTTAACCTCTAAGCCAGTAAATTTCTTCCTTCTTGAAGGCCTGATCCAACTCTATCTCTATAAGTCTCATATTGTCAAAATCAAAATTTGAACCAAATTTGGCTCTCTCTTTGGGCAACTAGAGTTTAAGGATCTCAATTTGATCATGCACCTTCCCAAATTCCTCTTTGCTCCACTTCCTAAGGTCTCTTCTTAGAATTGAGCACTTCTTGGAAATCCAAATCTGATGAGTTTTTCCCCCAACTTTCCTTAATTTAGTCCCCACGGTTTTTATTTTACAACCACATTTCTTCAAATCTCAAAGGTTTCTTTAGTTTTTTCCCATGGGTTCTGTATTTAGGCAAATTGGGAGGTGATTCGAACCATAGGAGTTCAGCACCATTATAGAAGCATCAGGGAACAATTCTTTCCATTCCAAATTGGAGAGACCCTCTGTCCAACTTCACCTTTACATGATCCTGATTCTCTCTATTATTTGACCATGTGTACTTAGGGCCACAATTCTATTATTTGACCATGTGTTCAAGGTCAACTCCCACAAGCCCTTTCCAAAGTTGATCACTAACCAAACCTTTAACGAGGTTCCTTCTCTCAATCTTTCTAAACCTCATATCAATAGAAACTTCTTTCCTATTATGAAGACGTCTACAAATCCAACTCAAAAGTTTCAAAACAACACTAATAGATTTTTTGACTGACAGATTTAAACCCTCACAGAGACTCAAAATGGCCTGAGACAAATAAAACCAGTCTCTACTCCTTTTACCACCCATCACCACCCCCAGTGAGAAGTTTTTTTTTGGTTGAGTTACTAATAGCTTTGAGAAGACCTCCTGAAATCGCCTTTCTGTGAATGAACAATTTCTTTCCCTCTATCTTGTTTTCTTTTAATATAACAATCAAGGAATTCCAGAAAACAGGTATGTACAATACAACAATTTTTTGCTTTACAATTTGAGTCAATAACACTTAAATATGTCGCCTCGATGAGATGTTTTGAAGAGGATTGCCCTTTCAAAAGGGAGTTCAGGCTACCCTCTCCATGGCTGTAAGTTCCCCCATCGCTGGTTTCAACATTTGCTTTAAAAGTTGCCATATTCCATCTAGAATAGAAATTTGAAACAAATTCATCCCTTACCTGATGGTAGAAACAATCCGTCTTTTTCCACTTGAGGTAGCTGAGTTCATTATGATGCCACCTCTTAACAGTTTTATCACCTCCTCTTCTACATCGTCCGCCTAGACCCTTGCCTTCTTGGTATTTCTCCCCTCTTTCTGCTCTTCATTTTGAGCCCCAACATCTTCCTCCAATTTGTTCGCAATCGGCATCACTATTTGGGTTAAAGCTTCACGGCTCGAGTCATTGTCATCTGTTCAGGTTTTCCCCATATCCATTTCCGGGTCAATGGAACCTAAATCTTTGCATTGGGACCCTTTTCTTTTCCTCAGTGAAGCTTTGTCTTCTATCATTTATAAATGCCGGTTGTTTCTTGCTTCCAAAGAAAGCTTATTGCTAGTTAAAATTTCCTCAAATATCTCCTCAAATCTGGGGCCTTCTACTTTGTTGCTTCCATTAGACCCATCTCGGTGAAAAGGGTTAATTTCCTTCTCTAAATAGAAAGTCTGGGAGCAACACCTTTGCTCCTTTCTGCGACTATACACAAGTAAGGTAAAGTTTTGTAGGGCTCCCTCATCTTCCTTAGAAACGTTGAAGTCGTACTCTCTTGTCGATGATCGCTGCCAGAAAAATTGAATCGACGATAGGATAACATTAGCGTTTGCCCTTGACAAAGTTTGTTGTTCTTCTTCCCTTCTGCTGCTTGAACTTTCTTTGATGAAAATTTATTGTTTAATTGGTAGCTTTCTGCAGGTGAGATCATGAGCTTCACACTCACCTCTTGTCCTCCCCCTCTAGCTTTCACTCCGCACAATTTTGTCTCCATCATTACTTGGCTGCACCCTTATTTTATTTAGGTCTTTTTCCATGACCAATTTTTCTCCACTACAAGAAATATGACCTTTAGCCATGGACAAACCCATGGCCAAAGGTCACAATAATCGTAGCTATAGATCTATAGCTATGGTTCAGCTACAAATAGAAAACCGTAGCCTATGCTCACGTGGCTATAGCTTATGGCTACAGTTCAACTAATCTGTGGCAAAAGCTCATCTATAGCTACAGTTTGTGTCTATAGCTAAAGGATGGATTTAAACCATATGAATCTTTAGCCATAGAGTTAACTATAGCTAAAAGATGTATATTGCTACGGTTTTTAAGTTGTTCGTAGTGATTATTCAAATCTATTACCACAAATTTTTATAAAACCATAGCTCAAGTATTCCATTTATAACCACGGTTCATTATAAAACCGTAGCAAAAGAGGCAATTTATAGCCACAATTTTTTCTAAAACCATAGCTAGATGTATGAACCTTTATTTACGGTTTTATACGAGCATCAAGTTATAACTACGGTTTTGACAAACCGTGGCTAAAACCTAACATCTATGGCCATGATTTATTCCAAAACTGTAGCTAATTGTTTCAATCTAACAATGGTTTTTTAAAAAATAATGATAAAATACCTGTTCCATTCATACATTCCATAACTAATTATTCAAATTAAAATAGTAAATAGCAATACTCGATACCGCCACCTTAAAGCAGTCATGCCATGTACAATTTGATACATCCATTGTGTTACCGAAAAAATATATATCCATGTTTAAAATGTATTAAAAGTGTCAAATTTTCCTCAATACATATTAAAGTCAAGATGACCTTCAAATAAAAAATTCAAAATATAAAAGAAATATCCATTGTCTCCAACCATGCTTTGAGTCACACATTGCATGAAAACCTACAAAGAAAAACAAAAAAGAAAGGTTAAAACAAGGATTACTTTGATGATCTAATTAAATATACAGCATACAATGAAAAAATAAGTGAAAGAAGATAGGTAACTAAAATCAATAGTATGTCAATGCAAGATAAATATTAAATTTCTAATTAAATCTGTTTGGTGCACTTGTTTGACTACTTATGAGAAAAGGTGAAAAATATATTGCATGTAAGTTATGCCCTGCATCAACTTGGCATTAGAGTTGTCTTACACTAATAGAATTATATGCCCTGAATTTTATTTGATTTATTTTTTCTCCATTTTGTGAATTTGTTGCCTGTAGTTTCTGTAGTTTTTGGCATTAATAGAATTTATTATTGATAAGGAGCTAGGACATGTTTTAGTAGGATAGGCGTTAGGATCTTCAGTCTGAAAAGTTGGATTTGAGTTTTGATCTCAGATTGCTACAATTTTTTGGTGGAATTTAGCATTCTCATGGTCATACTCAAGAGTCAACTTGTTGGCATTTTGCATCCATCCACAATGTAGTAATTTCAAGTTCTACTTGAGCAAAGAGCTCTAATGTCAAGTTGTCAACACTAGACACAATACCTATTCCTTTGAACAAATTTCCTGCCATCTAAATCTTCTAGTTAATTAACTATGCTAAACACTTAACAAAGAAGAGCTTCTCCTATATCTATGATTATAGAATATAGGAAGCTTCTGATGGCCCCTTCACCTTTAAATGGCATTTTTAGATTTCCATTTATCCATTTTGTTGGGGGTAATATTTTTACATTCCAAGGAAAGCCAAATTGTGTTGTACCTCATGTCATAACCAAGAAGATCCTTGCTGCTAATCTATGTTTAGTGACCTTTATTTGGCTCCACAGTTAATCAAACCTATTTCTTGAGATGTTTAGTTTAATTTTTGGCTTGATTTTCTATATTAAATTTCTGAAAGGTTATGCAAGTACATAGAAAGATATGAGATGATAACTAATTGAGAGAGTTTATCAGTATGATCTACTGCTACTTGTGTAGATAAATCTATGTGAATGCATAATTGATATTTCATTAAATAATGTCTTGCTTTTCAAATATTAGACACTTGCAAACAAGATAGAATCAATATTATGCTACTACCATGCCTTAAAGTATGCAACAATACAACATTTAAAGGATGTTGTATCATTGTCAAAACTTATTTTATAGTCATTCATGATGAATGTTGATACATTGGAACTCACCTAGTGATATATGAGTCATCTGTTCCATTAATAACTACTTCATCTCCTATTCTGATGAAGGATGATACCTGGAGTATGTCAAATTTGCTCAATAAGAAAAACTGTTGGTGTTAATAACATTTGAAAGATAAAATGTTACAACATTGTAGTGGAAAATAAATAGCAGATTAATACAAAGAATCTATAGAAGGCCATATGTCATGATACATGAGTTGCAATGATTAAACATAAAAGTAAAAGAAAAGAGCATGTAGAAAAATGGAAGGGAAATTATAAAATGGTAAGTGTCCTTTTACCTTACAAAAATCATGCATGGATTAAATGAATAAATGACAATACTCATGTCTTGAGTGTTCACTATAAATGAAACTACAGTTTAAGTGACCAAAAACTAGAGGAAGAGCAGGTGAAGAGCAAATGGAAGCAATATGAGTGTCAAATTTGAAAAGAAAGAATTGGCCCCCATATGCCATTTGAGAATTTATGTATTATTGTTATATACATAAACATATATGATTTGCACATATAATGTTTCATCATCTTCAGCCAAGCCATATACCAAATATATAGGGTTAGCTACATAGTTCACATTTTGCCATTCTGATACATCCCAAAAACAGATGAGATACCAATGTTTTAGCAACCCGACAAGAGGTTTGAAGCAAATATGAAGTAGGATAGATTCCTCTACTATTACAGTTATTGAACCAAACTAGTTTCTTAACAAGATGGAATCTATAAACCTAGCATTATGACTATGAAAACTAGTACAAACTTCATGTTTGATAGCAAGTCAACTTATATACTATGTTTCCCAGATATGGCAAGGAAACGACTGGATAGAGTGTCAAAAATTGAATTCACACTAAAAATTGGAGCACCAGACATTATACAACACCCATATGCAGTATTTGGGTGTCATAGTTTACATATTTGTGTGTGTGTGTTGCCTTTTTCCAATGTCGAACCTCAAGCAAATCAAATGCAGATTAACCCTCATTCTCAGTTCACTGGTTGGTTCCATTTTTGACACATCGAGTGAAAATGACCATAGACCATAGACCATAGACCAGTTAATATTCTTTCTAAGGTTCCCACCTTACCATCACAGTGAGCCCATTATCTAACAAAACCCTTTTATATCTGTATTTTAAGTAAGAATTGCATAATAAGAAAGGATATACAAGAGGTCAAGTGGTTGTGCAAGTGGAAAACAGCAAATAACCAAATAGCAATCACCTGAATGTACTGAAATTAATCTACTCCCAAAGAAAAAATAGTATAAAAAATTTGGAATAAATAAATAAACAAATCTATTCTACAGGTACCATATGCCATTTAAATAATGCTCGAGAGATGATATCAAGCAACTCTCTTAAGGAAAGTTCTTCAAACTGGACAAGTTTGAGTCGTGAATGTGAACAGGTCCACAAGTGTCGATTATAGGAAATGAGTGCGACAGTGAGGACATGACTGAAATTGGGAAGAAAAAGTAGGGTTCTAAGAACCCACTAGAAACCCCAAATCCCCCATGAGATAGGAGAGTTTCATTTAGTGATTCAATAAATTTCTGTACTTGAATCAGTCCAAGGGGTGTTAAACGAAAAGCATCCCGCATATAAGGACTGACACAAGTTGTCACTGGAGATTGAAAATGCAATAAATAAAGTTGATAAACCCGGGGCAGAGGCAGAGATGGTCCATGATAATTTGAATTTCAATTCAATCTCTAGCTTTGAAGCAGAGTTGGAGGGAAAAAAGAACAATGAAATTGAAAAAAGCAAAGGTAATCACACTAAGAAGCACGGGAAAATGACAGTTTTGAGGTTTCATGAGAAGATGATCAAAAATAAAGAAAAATAGATAATCTATAAAAATGTACAACATAATATACAGGAAAAATTGCAGAAACAATAAAAAAAAACACATATGGGTTTCTTTTATTGTTATTTTGTCTATTATTTCAATGTTGTGGTTGATCATATTATTAATTTTTTACCTTTTTTGTTAAAGAGGAACCCACCAGAGTTAGGTCAGAGATATCATCGATTCTCTATTTTTTTTTTATAAAGTCTGTGCACTCAAAAATATTGTGCTTGAACACACAAATAGACCTGTCTATTATTTCACTGTTGTGATTGACCATATTGTGTGGGTCGGGTTTGGGTTGATTTTAGGTTGGGTTGCATCGGCAAATGCTAGACCCTAACCCTAAATGTTCGGGTTAGGGTTGACCCATGGGTCAATTCAGGTCATCCAAAAAAAAAATAACTGAAATTTAAAAAAATAAAGAAAATTACAAGAAATTGTCAAAATTAAAGGAATTAACCTTAAAACTCCAAAGATAAAATAAAAAACTTGAACATTTAACAATTTAAAGAGTAAACACTAAATAGTAAAGATAAATGAATGTAAATTTCTAACAATACATAAATAGTCCCAATTAGACCTAACAATCAGGTTAGTGGGTTAACCCATGACCCAACCCAACCTAGTTCTGGGTCGGGTCATTCTCAAATTTAGGTAGTTAAATATGGGACCCTAACCCTTTTTTTGGGTTGGGTCAGGTCGGGTTTGCGGGTCGGATCAACTTTTTGCCTGGTTTACACAAACATATATATATATATAGAGAGAGAGAGAGAGAGAGAGAGAGTAATGGATTTTGTTGAATGAAGTTGTTGAGAAGCCTCATGCAGTTTGTATCCCTTACCCATTACAGGGCCACATAAACCCTATGTTGAAGCTAGCAAAGCTCCTCCATTATAGAAGTTTCCACATAACCTTTTTTCACATCGATTGGTCAAGTCTAGGGGCCTTGATTCTGTAAAGGAAGGACTTACCTAGTTTCAGGTTCGAAACCATCCCTGATGGCCTTCCACCCTCTGTTGTCGATGCCACACAAGACTCTCCATCCCTTTGTGACTCAACTAGGAAGACTTGCTTAGTCCCCTTTCGCAATCTCTTTTGCAGACCCAATCATTCTTCGCCATCCGACATTCCTTCAGTTACTTGCTATTAAGGAAAGCTATGGCTTGACTAGTATGAAAGAGGAAGGATCTAAAGGTAGTAGCTCTACAAGAGTGGAAGTTTCTAATAGAGAGAAAGAGGAAAGCTCTAAAGGTGGTAAATCTACAAGAGTTGAAGTTTCCAATGGAGGTTCTCTTCCAAGTTTGGAAATAGCTAAAATAGGAAATAAATTAATTAAGAAACTTTGTACGTAGGCAATTACCTATTCTTTTCTTTCTTTCTTTTATTCTTTTTGTATACATATTGCACCCAAGTATCTCTAGTCGATGTACGCAGAAATACAATTTCCTTGCATTGTTTTTCTTCTCTTCTTGTTCTTTAACTTGGTATCAGAGCCAAGACTCGAAGATCATGGCTGCAAACAGTGCCGATTCTTTTAAAGCAATGAGCTTCAATTTTCTGCTCTCTAGAACATGTCTACTACAGTGGCATGAACTCGATTCCCAACATATCTCCTTATCTCACTATCAAGTTGAATGGAGAGAACTTTATACTGTAGAGAGCTCAACTCTTACCAGTGCTTAGAGCATACAAGTTGATGGGTTTGATTGATGGATCAACCAAGGCACCACTAGAGGAGATCCCATATTCAAATGATAGTAATAAGAAAATTATAAACCCAAGTTATTTGTCTTGGGTACAATTGGACCGACTTGCTTTGAGCTAGCTTGTTGCATCTCTGACTGAGGGTGTATTAGCCCAAGTTGTTGGACTTTCTACTATAGCCGAAGTCTGAAGTGCCCTAGAGAGATCGTTCTGTTCTCACTCATGATCTAGGGTACTACAACTTAGGTGCCAATTTCAGAATCTTAAGAAAGGAAATTTGTCTGTCAGTGATTATATTCAAAAAGCAAAGACTATTGCAAACAATCTATCTGTTGTTTCTGAACTAGTAGCAAAATAGGATCTTCTTCTGTATATTCTATCTAGACTAGGAAGTGAATATGAATCTCTTATTATTGTTATTACCAACAAAACTGATGCAAATCAGTTAGGAATCAATGATATTCTTGGCTTACTTCTTAGTCATGAATCATGGCTTATTCAACATAATATCTCCTATGAAGCTCCCAATGCTAATATTGTTGCAAATAATAGCAATAATAATAATAATAATAAGAGTAGCAATCAAAATCCTCAATTTCAGCACAACAAAGGGGGTTATGGCCGTAACAGAGGCAAGGGGCGTGGCAATCAGCCTGGATGAGGTCAAGGACGAGGCAGAGGCAACCCAATCATATGTCAGCTATGTAATAAACCAGGACATGGAACCTTGAAGTGATACAAACGGTATGATCTTTCATACCAAAGAGAGAGCAACAATAGTTCTCCAGACCCTGTTGTGGCGTTCCATAATGGAATATCCTCCTACAATGATTCGACTGCTAATTTCAATACTACCTGGTATCCTGATAATGGAGCAACTCACCGCATGACTCTAGATGCTGACAATTTATAGAACAAGTCTGAATTTTTGGGAACAGATCAAGTGAAAATTGGTAATGGAGAAGGTTTGGAAATTAAGAGTATTGGTTCTTCTTCTCTAACTTATGATCAACATCAATTTAAAATGAAAAGTGTTTATCATGTTCCTACTTCAACAAAGAATTTGATTTCCGTTAACAAATTTATAGAGATAATGATTTGGTGTTTGAATTTCAACCGGATTTCTTTTTATTGAATGATCATACGGGGAGAGCTTTAATCAGAGGACCCAATAGAGATGTACTCTATTAGTTTCCAGACACTAAAAGTGACAGAAGGAATTCAGCTAAAGTTTTTGTTGGAGAAAGAGCTTCTCTTCAAAATTGGCATCATCGACTTGGACATTCTTCTCTAAAAATTGTTAAATTAGTTATCTCTAAATTTAGTTTGCCTTATTCTGGAACTGTTAGTGATAATTTTTTTTGTGAGGCTTGTTAATTAGGCAAAGCCAGAGGTGTAAAGTGAGCCATGTCGGGCAGGCACGACATGGACCATAGGCAGCCCGCGCAAAGTGCGGGTCATGCCGTGCTGGCCTGTGGGCCGTTACGAGCCGTGCCACCCTCCCTAGTGAAAAATTTGGGGGTTGGCCCGGCACGGCCCACGGCCTAGGCCCGTGCCGTGCCGCGGGCTGGGCTGGCTCGTAGGTCGAGCCTTGGGCCAGGTCGGGTCGTGCATCGAGCCAAAGCTATCTATTTAAAAAAATTGACAAAAAATTAAAATTTTAATTTTATATGAATTTTGTGTATACAATTTCTTATATATACAATTCTTAAATAAATTAGTATAATAACCTTAAAAATGATTTTTTTTATTAATATATTATATACTATATATTATTATATAATTATAATTTATATAATATTATATAAATATATATAAAATACATAAATAATATATATGGGTCGTGCCACGGGGTGGAATGGCCCACTCGGTCGTGCCGTTCTGTGCCGGCTCGTGGACCTAAAACCCCAGGCCCAACATGGCCCGCATGATCGTGTCGGGCCTATCACAGCCCGTGAACCATCGCGTCGGGCCGTGTCGAGCTGGTCCAAGTTCATGCGGGCCATAGGCGGCACGATCTGATTTACACCTCTAGGCAAAGCCCATCGTTTAAATTTATTTGTTTCTTTTAGTATTGTTTCACAACCTTTGGAATTGATTTACTCTCATGAGTAGGGACTTGCCCTAGTTTTGTCTATAAAAGGCTATCGTTATTATGTTTTGTCTACAACCTTTTGTCTTACTTGGCCGAATCCCAGATCTGCAAAAAAAAAACAAAAATTAAACTAGATAAAAGTAAATTACAGAAAGGAAAAATAAGAATTGGAAATTAAAGAACGGAAATTAAATCTAAAACAAAAGTAAACTGGTTGGGATCCAAATCCAGAGGTGGCAGTAGTGGCTAGGCGAACTGTAAGCAGGAATCCCTCCTCTTGCCTGGGCGTTTTCCTCTTCCTCTACCCTTGAACTTCTCAAGATCAGCCTTTTGTCTTACTTGGGTAGAATTCAACCCCTTCTCAAGAGCCCTTAGGTCCTTTTTATAGAGAAGGATGGACACAACTGGGATTAGAGAGAAAGAGGGGGCGGAAACTGGGTTTTAGAAAAGATATGGGCGCCCTAAGGTTTCTAATGAAGGGGTAGGATGGTTCTGGGTTGATCCTAAGGTTGAGAAGAGAAGGAGAGGGCGCCCAATATTATGTAGGGCTGAGATTTGGGCGCCCAGAAATGGAGGGTGGAGATTAAGGTGCCTAAGGTTGAAAGGTGGAGATTAAAAGGAGTGGGTGGCGCCCTAGAGTGGATGGCTGAGATAGAAAATGGAATGGAGGGCTGGGATTTAATGACTAGGGGTTGAGTGGTGAGGATTAGAAATTAGGTGGCATCCTAGGGTTGAAAAGCTAAAAAGAGAGTGCCCTAAAATGAATGGTGGAGATTAGAAGGGATGGAAGGTG